CCCTGCACAGAGCAAGGATCATCATCATAAAGACATCATGAGGAGGCACAACCCTTAACAGAAAAACTAAAAACCACACAAGGGAAGATGAGGGGAAAAAACAAAAACATTATATTATATCAACAATGTGATACACCATGGTATTTATAAAAAAAAAAGCCTCTGCATAGAGCACATTTATTAGCCAGAGAAGTAAGTGAGTTTAGGGGATCATGTATCTGAAGACATGAGTGTTGTATGCACTTGTGTAAATATCTGAAAAATGAGCCCAAAGAATCGAGTGTAGCTGCCATTGAGTGAAAACTGATATCGACAGCTTGTATCTGTGACATTGTTCTTTTAGTCACTAAACAAATTTCATGACCACGTGTGATTTCCTGCTTCTAAACAAAATTATGTGATACTTGAACTCCATGAGGCAGAACCTCACCCCTAACCCAGAGAGGTCAATCCACCCTTTTCAGATTTACGAAGTATTAGCTCCATATCAGTAAACTTGGCTGTGTCCCGGTCGAGGTGGGCCGGGTCCTTGGTAGACTGGGAAGACCGAAAAAGTGTTTGTGAAGGTAATATTTGAAGAACGAATTGACCCGCCGTAGGTGCATTTTTATTTGGTGGGTTTTTTTCCTGACGAAAATAATATTTTAAAAACATGTCTATACAAATTATAAAAGTTTTAAAAACACAACTGCTTGAAAATTTAAAATTTTATACCGCCATATTTTTTATTTAAAACTTCTTGTTTTCTCTTGCTTCGTCCGCCATTACCAGCTTAAAAAAATTTCATTTGGGCCACAATGCATTATGGGATATGGTGGGCCGGGAAGGATCCATCGGACTGGTCCTACAATTCAAGCCAAAGGAAGGACGCATTTGTCGGCCGCATCGGAGGAGTCTTCAGCTTTGGACAGCCTCCATYGCAGYGCTGTGACATATGCAGCCGACAAATTTGGCCTTCAGAGGACCCGGCCCCCAGTTTTGGACACAGCCCATGACTAATTAATAGGTATTGAAGTGTAGGCTGTTGGCGGCCAACTTAAACTGAGTTGACACCAAAAGGTAATTAGTTGTTCTTCCAGTGATTACTTTTGGAGCATAGAAKTCATCCAAGAGGTGGCAGAAAATGATCGGCTACTAAGGGAACAAGAACATAATTTGTACAATATGTTCCTCAAAATCTGTTATTTGTCAACATGGTAAAAAGACCAAACTCATCTGTCTGACAAATGAAAGATTGGACCTGGAAAACAAAAGCTGCAATTTTGGCAGCACTTTACATATTTTAGTTGCAGAAACTTTGATGACAACCTTATTTTGTTGCGATRTACAAGCTTTTAAAACCTTTCTTCTGATAGTTTCAGTCCCTCTTCTGAAGAGCTGTATCACTCTTTTAATTTAGCAAAATTTCATTACAAAAAAACGTCTTTTTTTTTGTTCTGTTGGGTAAGTATTTCAGGTTGTTGTCCTCCTGATCTCATTTTATRTCACTGGGTTTCATATTTAGTTCTAAACTTGTTTTCGAATGTCACACAGCGAGAGGGAACCGCTGTCATGTTTTACTTTTGAATGTTTTTAGTTAGCTTTCAGGTTTAAGTTGAGAGCCTTTTAAAATTATTTCACTCTACAAAAGAGTTGTTTTTTTACATATAAAACCAGTGTCAGACAGACTGTAACTTAACTCTGAGCATTTCACAAACATTTGTCTTTTTCTGACGTTCTTTTAGCATCGTCATCCTCGCCGGTTTTGACAAATGGGGCTTTACCTGATTCAGTGAACAGCTTGTGCTTCGCACTGGAAACGCTCCAGATTTCTGCTGGTTAAACTTTACACCTGACTTCTCTCACTGCTGCAGCCTCAGGGTTTCTTTGCTACAAAACGTCTTGATAAAATTAGAAAATGCTGAACTCGGACATAAATGTGTTGTAGCTCATTTAAAAATTGTTTTGATTTCAGATTCTCTTTAAAAGCTTCGTAAATGTAATCACTCTCTCACTCACTTGTTTTTTCAGATCAAGAGAGTGAAAAAAATGTGCACAGTTCAATTTAGCAGTTTTTTTTGGCATGTTTTATATATTTTACTTAAATATTCTGTCTGTATTTAAACTAAATTTAAATTTATTTATAATATAAAACTTTTTGAATATATTTTAAAGGGTATATGATGTTACAATGTCATTCCCTTGTCAAAAACATACACAGAGAGTTGCTTTGACTCAGTCATATATGTTTGAGAAATCCTTGAATCTCCTGTGGAGCCATGTGGAGCTGCCTAAATGCTTGCTGGTACAAAACACCACCTATTTACACAAAGCTGCTCCCTGGAGCTCAGTCTGCAGCCAAGCTCCTACAGAGCACCCTCTCCCAAAACGTTATGAAGATGCACTGAAGTGGGAATGTTAGAAATGGTAGGAGGTTCTTAAAGAGACAGGTCAATTTCAAGGCATTTAGAACAGCTATGATGCAAAGTCAAATTTATTTTTGACATATAAAGCATTTTTCCAACGACTGAAGCTAACATAGTCACTTATTTGTGGTATAGAACTGAACTATGTGCCTGGAAAATACATAATACCCCCCCACCCCACCACCACCAGCAGCAGCATTTAATATTTCAGATCAGGGTTTTCAAATATTTTGAGCAGGTCTACAGACAGACTGTGAGTTTGTGCACGCAGAATGACCAGGGCGCTGGCAAAATCCAAAGTTCAAATAAAGTTGAATAAAATAAAGAGGGCTGAAGTGGCAGCAAAACTTTCAGTCTCAGGGAACATGGAGGACAACCACACTGAATGAAAACAGTACAATGATCAGACGCAAACTGAACACAGGACACAGAATACAAAGGCAAACTAATTAAGGACAACAAGAAACACCTGGAGGAGACAAAACAGGTGAGCAAGGGTGGGGCAGAGATACACGGGGAACACTGAAACACTAGAAAGCTAAGGAAAATGAACACAGATCATGACACAGACAGTTACTACTAAAGATAAATCAGTCATACTTCCTTTTTTATACTCAAACAACTTGACATAATATCAAACAGTATACACTTTATACACCTCTTTACAAATAATAACTAATTTAAAATAAATATTCATCCTAAGTTACAGGAAAGAGAACTGGATTATTTTTGAGACCTTGTAAGTGGCTTTTAGTTTGGCTTGATTTGGACCTAAATGAGTCCTCTACGTCTTGGATGTGAACCGCTCATAATTGGTTTGAAAGAAAAACAAATGTCAGCAGTGCAGCAGCAGAAAATGATTTGTTACTTCAGCCTGAGGTCAGAGTGCATCAGTTAAATAATGGTTGATAATTAAATAATAAATCCTTAGTTTTGTAGAACTGCAATTATGCTGAAGACTGATTTTTTTTCTACTTGAGTTTCTTTAACTTTATTAGAACTGTGAATCACTTTTTGGAAACTAAAGATCATAATTTATTTAAACCATTATTTTCATGCTCGTTTCAGTTTTCCTCTTTGTGTATTAAATAATTCTTAAAGTGATAGTTCAGTTCTTTTCTAGTGGAGTTCTATGGAAAGGTAATGAACAGTTAATATMTTATCTATWKGAACAACCACAGTTTGGAAAACTTGACTTTAAACCTGACCAGATCAACAAAGCTTAGTGAGGACAAGAACTGCTGGTTTAAAACAACTCCAATCTTAACATTTTCATAGCTGTTCATGTAAACGCTYTTTTATAAACCTTTACACCACCACCGGTTTCTCATTACCTGATTCTTTATTGTGATTCTTTGTTGTRAGAGAAAATTGCAGAACTTCCAACAGTAATATTATATTCTTCTTTGTCTTTAAACTGCTCCCAATAACACATCATCTGCATCCAAATTCACTTCCTACCAGCACCCTGCTGGTGAACAGACCCAAAGACGATCAGATCAAACTGATCCAATAAGACAGTCATATGATCTAAAAAAACTTTCGTGGATCCAATTAGACGGTTGTAGTTCCTCATGTTTATAAAGGCTGAAGTTTTACACCGGATGCCACAATCCTCACCATTAAYCTGGGGTTAGGACCGTCACAAAAGGCCCCCTCTAATGGCTGATTTTTTTTCCCTGCTAAATTAGCCATATAATGCAAAGCTGAAACAAATGCAAAAGTTCACTTAATCACATTGTCTTGAACTGATGTGAAAATAACTGTAATTTAAATCACTTCAGGAGAACAACAACAACAAACCATTTTGGTCTTTTCCACACTCAAGACCATTCGTTAGCTTGCCTCATTTACTGAGGTTTTTCAAAGAGCWATCTMCAACAGATAAGATGTTAAAACCTTACCATGGAGCACTCTTCAAAATATTTAAACTGTCCCTTCATTTGACATTTCTCTTAAGTTAACTTTGATCAAATATTTCATTACACCAAAGAAAAAAATTTGAATTATCTGTTTTTCTAAGCGATCGGAAAACTTAATGCAAATGCCAAGCCATTCTCCCTGACACACACATATTTCAGACATTCTGCCGGCTATATGTATGTCTACATTTCAAAAGAAACACATTTATTTTGTCGGGTTAGCCTCCTACACTCTGACTGTTCATACTGAGGTGTGTAAGTTGTCCTGAGGAACAATCTGCAGGAAGAGGTTTCCCAATGAAATTTTTATGAGACATTTTAAAGCTGTGGGCACCACATGGAAAATGCCATCAACCTCTATTGGGCTGAATGCGCTGAGGAATATTAGGAAAAGATTTTTCTCCATCAGGTCAAATAAAACCTAAACTACTGCCCAGCATTTCACTGTAACCCAAACAGGAAATGAACAGATTATTTTTACTTTAAGGGTGAAAATGGGCCCAGCTGCTTTCATCCTTTTGCTTTAGAACCTGGCGTGTATTGACGGAGAAGCACTTTCATTAGGAAGCTGCAGATTTATTCTGTGAGGGTTTTGTTTTTTATATTATCATTTACCTAATGTACACTTTTATTATTTTTTTCTTTCAGGCCTACACCTTGCAAAATCAATACGGCATTCCACACTCAGAGGTAAGACAGTTTTTGCGGAAGGATTACATTTCAGTAAAACCTGAGAAGTTTATGATCTAGAGTTTCGCTGAATCAAGCTTTTTTTTCTGCTCTTTTGTTCTACAGCTGGCCAAGCTGCACCAGCTGTCAGTGCAGCAAGGCCTGAGCCCCATCGCCCAGCCCGCCTCGACAATCATGCCTGGTATGTTCACCGTAATAAGACTCGGGTGGTTTTCTTGATTGTTCTCCGTTGCTCCGACAATCAGTCACGATGCCTTCTTTTTTTCTTTTTTAAACTCCATCTGTAAGAAAACATGGCTGTTTAACCTGCCCACAGGTGCCAGAAGTAAAGGATCGCTGTTATTAGCGGTGCTGATTAGGAGCTTTTATTGGTTAGCGGGGAGGAGACGAGGCTTCATTGCTCYCTTATATCTGCCAGTCGGAGAGAGAAACGATTATATGCAATGATGTGTTCTGCAGCGTCAGAGAACTGGGAGCCAGAAAAGAATGAGTGCCGTGTAAAACATCAGCCCATTAAAATGGAAATGAACTCCTTTACTATATCTGGCAGTTTTCTGCTGAAAGGGTTTTCCCAGCATGTCGGGGGTTGTTTGTACAACTTGGCTAACTGCAGGAGCTGAATTATGATTTAAAATCTTTGAWGTGTCAATTTTTATTCACTCAACTCTTGTGTTTTCCCTCATCAGGGATGGACTCAACTTCTCAGACATCTCAGGAGCTCCTTATTCCCAACGATGTAAGAGAAATCGACACGCAACTTTAGGCTTTTCTTTTTCCTCCACCTCAGATTTGATTTTACATCCAAACAGCTCCACAGCACGTCGAGCTACGTACACAAAGAGGATGCAGTGAGACTTCAAAAAGAGATGAAAGCCGTGTCGACAACTAACTAATTACCCCTCATTATTCTAACCTCAAACTACACCAAGGTTAAAGGGATTTTTGAGCTGATATGGATCCTTTCGGGTGATTGTGTGGGCTGCAGTAGCAATGTCTTAGAGTGACTCCCATGAGCGATGAGTAAATCCTCTCATGTTTCCTGACCTACTTAGAAGCTGTCTGCTGTCAAAACAGCCAATAAGAAAACAGAGAAGGATCCTTTCCCTCCTCACTTAGTCTCCGCCAGGGTTTGACGTGCAGACTCTCTGATCTGAGAGCAGAAATCACAGCGAAATGAAAATAATGAGCKCTGCGTTAGGTGCGGCTGCTTTGGTTAGAGAATGGCATCTGTAGGTCGGAGCATCACCTGAACAGTGAGAGGATTTAACACTGGAATCAACATATTTGTGATATACTTGTTATTTTGAGTTTAAATATTCAGAAGAGCAGTTTTTAAATGAGTAAAATGATCTGAATATTAAAAAATGCCCAAATGTTTATAATACCTAACCCTATCTTCACCATGTGGCATATATTAATAAAAAACCAAACTGGATTTTTGGTCAATTTTGTAACTTTTTCTAAATTGTACGTATAAATTGTTTGCACATTTGCTGCTCAGTCAAGGTCTGCTGCCTCACTTTTTGACATAAAGGAAAATAAAAACATCTCATCTCTCCCAGCGTTTGAACAAAGGCATCCTCTCAATTTAAATTTTTGCTTATTTACTCGTAAAGTTACATTTTTTATATCAAAAAGAGTAAACACCTCATGCCTCACCTTTAAAAATGTAAAACCCACTTTGTACCCAAGTGAACAGAACAGCCGTGCTTGTCCTCAGGCATTATTCCATGATAAGACAGTGTATAATATGTCTGCAGGGCATAGATGCATTTGTTGATTAAATTTGCAATGTCTGTGTTGTTTTCTTGTTTTTTTAGGGGCGCCAGTGGCTAGTGGGAAAAATCTTAGCTTACAATTTGGTTTATTCAAAATTTAATATCACTTTACAATTGGGATAAATARATAACTAATAAATAGTTAACAATGCAGGTTTTAATTAGAGTGTAAAAATTTCTAACACGTTTTATTTATGTCGCAMAAGATAAAAAATATAACGCTGACTCGTGTTTTGCCAAATAGTGAGCTGAGTAATCTGTAGTCTCTTATAGGTATTCTTAATCATTTAAATGTTAAATGTTTGTGAGTAAATAACGTCTGGCAGCACTATGAGTATTAACAACTACTAATATTACTAATAATTTGGGTAATTATTATTATTACTAATAATATTATAATATTACTAATATTATAATACTAGTATTAATGGTTACAAATTAGTTATTAAGTAAAAATACAAAAGTTGACCAACTAGCAAAATATAAAAATGATTTATGCCAGAATGAATGAAAAGAAGTGGCCAAATAGTGAGACTGGTTCATTGCTTTATAAAGTGTTTACAAACTCTATTCATAAAGCATTTTTTTACTTATTGTAAAGTGGTAACAAACATTTTTAATACATTCATTCTAAATAGCTTTATTTACTTTTGCAAAATGCAATTTATTTAAATTTCTATCAAGTGTTTTTTTTCTTTCTTTTTAAGTTTCCTCATTTTTGTGACAGCCTCTAACATAGACGACCTGTATTTAGCAGCAAAGTGATTCCRAACACTTGTTTGTTGTAAAGAGAGAGACAAAAAAAGTAGCAACAAAAATAGTTTCATAACTGCCTCCACTGTTTCAGTTTTCATTTAAACGTGAAGGATACAGCCAGATGTCTCAGCCGTGTCTAAATAGCC